CCCTCTTCCACTTAGGACTCAGTCTCTAAGTCTGAAGGATCACTCAGTGCTGGATTCCCCAGTAGGAAGAACAGGCTCAACTGAGGACTAGCAAAGCAGGGGCATCAAAATGAAAAAAGAACAAAAAATTAGAAGACTGCACCCAAACTTCATAAGAAAAATTCAAATCTAGGATAGACTTCCCTGTATGTGTTTTGTGGTTTAGTATTGTTTTCATTTTGAATTATGTATAAAGGAGGATACTGTTATCTTTTTGGTGCTTTGGGTCTCGAAGTTTATTTATCTGGTGCTGCCTGGACGTCTGGGTTTTTTTGTTTTTGTTGTTTTGCTTTTTTTGAGTCAGGGTCTCACTCTGTCACTCAGACTGGAGGGCAGTGACGCTTAGATAATGGCTCACTGCAGCCTTGAACTCCGGGTTCAAGCAATCCTTTCTCCTCAGCCTCTCAAGTAGCTGAAACTATAGGCACATGCCACCACCCTTGGCTAATTTTTATATTTTTTTGTAGAGGCAGGATATCGTTATGTTGCCCAGCTTGGTCTCAAACTCCTGTCCTCAAGGAATCCTCCCACCTTGGCCTCCCAAAGTGCTGGGATTACAGGTGTGAACCACCATGCCTAGCCAGACACCTGTTTTTAACCTGTTTTTCAGAAGTACAGCCAGTACTGAAAATTAATGCTTTGGACTTAAAATAATCAAACTCTTAAAACTCTTAAACTCAATGCCAGTTGAAGTACAGAGTTTACATTACTTCCAGAGCTAAAAGAATCATCTTTTTATTGGGGAGAAAAACCAAAGATTCCTAGAGGATAGGAGATGGCTCATATCAGAATTGTCTTTCCTCTAGGGACTAGTCCTTTTGCTTGAGAATCACTGCCAGAATGACCGTGAGTGGGTTCTATGCCATGTCTGTTGGCTCAGAAGAAATCGAGTCTCACTGGAGCAGGAGCACATTTTTCTTGTAATTGTGCCTCTAATGGAAGAATTTAGGCTTATTGTTCCTGATTCATGCTTGAAAATATCTTCATCTACAAACCTATTTCACTGTGAGTCTCTTTGAACTGAAAATGTCCTTAGAAAGATTGATTTGGTTTGCTTTTATGAACTACAGGCTCATAGTTCCTTATCCATATTTCTGATATTTAAACTCTGAAAACCGAAAGGTTTTTTTACATGTTTAAAACAAATACGTTTGGCAGTAACATCTGAACTGAACTGACATGAGGCTTTTCATGGTCTTTATTCTGTTTGGTGTAGACTGTTTGGCTGTAGCACAAATAGTCTATTTGCTGATGGGGCACTGCCCCGCTTTCACTGGTGGTGTCCAGGCTGTGTATGGTTTATGAACATGTTGCCTTTCTGAAACTTGAAGCTCAGTGTTCTGAAACACTTATGGCCTCCAGGGTTTAGATAAGAGATTGTGGAGCCACATATCCTCAAAATTCTTAGTGTATTAAACTTGCTTCTCACATTTCAGAAGAATCACATTTCTTCTCATGTAGAAGAAACCATGAGAAACCACAGAATCGTCTTCCCTCTTCAGACCATGCCAGTGTTTCATTTTACTGTTATGCTGGCAAATTGTTGTTTTGATCACATTCAGAGTAATTGATGTCAACATATGTTGCCACATGATTGTACATCAGGATTTATGACACAAGAAAGAATACAGAACAGAAGAAGATAATAATGATTGTTATCCTCCTTGTACATTAGATAAATAGCATCCGCTGTATGGAAAAGATTTTAAAAATTGACCTCTAGTGGGAAAATAATTAGAGTAGTAATGAAATAAGCCAACGTAGTAATCTCTGTTAGTAGTGTCCACTAAGATAGTAAAGAACACTTCATAAAGATTTGGTTCTTTAGCATTAATTCTTTTAAACTTGAAGAAAGACCAAGTAACTCTCCAGAGATTGACTAAATGCTTAAAGTGATTTAAATTTCATGGTAAATAATTTTCATCAAAAGTAGATTTCAGGTCTTGATATTTGAATTTGTTGCTTGTTTTTGTAGAAAATATTTATAATACCAGTTTTTCCTCTTAAATAAATTACTTTTCTCTCTTATATATTTATCTATCTATCTATCTATCTATCTATCTATCTATTTATTTATTTTAAGACAGAGTCCTGCTCTTTCATTCAGGCTGGAGTGCAGTGTCATGGTCATAGTTCACTGCAGCCTTGAACTGTTAGGCTCAAGCAATCCTCCCACTTCAACTTCCTGAGTATCTGGGACTTCAGGCATGTGCCCGACTGACTTTTGTTTGGGGATTTTTTTTTTTAATCTTTATTTTTCAGAGATGGGGTTTCACTGTGTGATCCAGGTTGGCCTCGAACTTCTGGCCTTGAGCAATCCTCCTGCCTCGGCCTCCCAAAGCACTGGGGTTATAGGCATGAGCCATCAGGCTCAGCCTTTATTATTACTATCTTCTTTTAAGTGTCCCCTCTCTATGCATCATTTTATTAATCTTATGATACCTCTTTATTATTAGGTTATCTTTATTAAATGGTTTATTTGGCAGACTACAACCCATAGACCAAATCATCTGTTCTTGTGAATAAAGTTTTATTGGAACACAGTCACACCCATTCATTTGGCTATGTCTAGTTTTGCACTATCATGGCAGAATTGGAGGAATCTTGCAGAATTGGGTAGCTATGACAAAGATATATGACTAGCAAAGCCTAAAACATTTACAGTCCTACCCTTTATGGAAACAGTTCACCGATCCCTATAGTATACCATATAATTGCTTTTACAGATGAGACAAAGATATCAAGTTACTTACCTAAGGTCCTATGGTGAGAAGGGAACTAAAATGATAATCCAACATCTACCAATAGTCTTCTCATTCTCCACTTGTTCCCCCATTTTCTTCTTAGAAACAAGGATACTTACATTAACACTGAATGAAAACAACCAATATTGGCCTCTTGGATTCCTTTTAGGACCTTATGGCCCTATCCTCAAATTACCTTTCTCTCCATCTTTTAGGCCTAACAGTGACAAGGACTTCCTATAGTAATACTAAAAATCTAAACAAGTCCTTAGTTAAAGCTTTTTTTTTTCCTCCTGGGGATCTCTTTCATATAGTCTAATATTACTGTGACAATTTACTAGCATATGTAGCTTTTGAGGTGTAAAAATGAGGAAATAAAAACTTTGAACATAGGACACAAAACTTGTCTCTGTTTCTAATACACAATCAGAACTGTGAATCAAATGCATAGGGTTCTGCGCTGAACTGTTATAGCGTTCTAGTGATATCAGACGTAGAAAACCTGCCCAAGATACATACTTTATCACAGCTGGCTAGGGACTTGCCAAAAGAGAGATGATATTTTTGAACATGGCACATGACATTATAGAGTGGTAATGTAACAAATGAGCAAGTGTTTAAAGATTGCTATTTGAATGGAAGCTGTAAAGTTTTAGCTTCACCAGAGGATGCTGCTGCAAATTAGTTAAGCAAGCACTTATTGATGGTTTAAATTAAGCAGCCACGCTGGAACAGGGCACATTTCCCTTCCCTATGGAGTACTGTTAGAGAGTCTTAACCTACTTTGACACTTCTGATCAAATCTTCTGTATTTCATTCAATTCACAGTGATTCATGCTTTCAAAAATAGAAGGAAGGAAAAAAAATAGGGCATGAATTAGAGGATTAACATTAGCGTTCTTAACATTTTGAATGAAGATTTCCTGGACTCTGCAGTCGTTTGAATAATCTATCACTAACTGTAATTGAAGATAGTAGTTTGTTGTTGTTTTTTTTCTTTAAGCCAAGATAAGGGAGTCATACTCCTGAGAAAATTCTTGAATAGTTGTGATGGGATATTTGAATATATCTGGAATTATTGGCAGTGAGACACAGCTATTTGCTTTGGTAACAGATTCCTATGGTTAACATTTAGAGACCTGGAAAGCACTCCTTTTGAGTTGACCTCAGATGAAATTGGAATCTTGCATGACTATTATTGCCGTCCAGATGGTGAATGGATACTATTGAAAACACAATTTTGTAAGGGCCATAAAGACTGATTACCCATGACTTAGACTGGGAAGAATATATTTCCCACTCTACCTAAAATTAATGCCCAATTACTGATGAATTATAATGCAGCTGTTCTAGAAGCACTCGTAATGCTAATTTTATGTTGAATGGATTGGTTTTTATTAATACTATCCCTCATTTTTGGCAAAAATAATTCACTTGGGGACCCTTGTTTTAGTTGTGCTTAAGCTCATAGATTTATAATACTAGTTTATGGTTGAAAGGTCCTTATGTTCAGCATAGATCTGTTTTCTTGTGGCTTCCATCTAGTGCTCAAATCCTTAGAGCATCAGAATAAGAATGAGATTTTCTGTATATGGAAGCCTATATATGGGGGTGCTAATAAAATTGAAGGCTGACCTCATGTTCCACTATTCATTCAGCAAGCATGTGAGTCTTTTTTTTGAGGTTCTCATCTTCGTC